GTAGCAACATGTATTGACATCAACAACAGACGAAGAAGCGCCGGCAGAAGATTTGCTGGGGTATATTTGTCTCAAATTTTAGTGTTGTGCTTTCCCTTCGTGTGGGATTCGGAATTACCATGTTTTTTTTGGGAATCTGCACAATAACTTTTCTTTGTTAATCAGATTACTAGTAATTAAGGATATCTGGTAAAAGGGATTTTGTTTAGTTGTACCAAACGTGTCAATTCATGTTTACCAGAGTAGCTTTCCTAGTCATCTTTCAAATAACCTTGTACCAAACACATCCTATGGGTAACCTAAGGAGGGAGCTTTGCGGGTATCACAAAACCTATTGCCAATACAAAATTTTGGAAATTTTTGAATAAAACTTCGGAAGACCATAACTTTTGACTCAAGTGTTCGAATCAGGTGTTTTTTTATTCCACATAACTTTTCGAGAGCTACGTGTTGGAAATGTTTCGGAGAAAATTTGAATTTTTTTTTACCATATACTCGAGTACATGCCCAAGAATAGAAAATATTCGAGTATCTGGGTCATGTATTTAGGTATATGTTCATGAGACTTGATATACTCGAGTATATGACCACTGTCTCAGCAACTGACATCATAGGTAAAACAACATCCTTTGCTCTGGTATTTTCATGTACAACTCTAAGAAATCTTTCCTTGACTGGTTGAAGAATTCTCCTATTACCATATCTATGTCTTCATCATCCACAACGTGCATACTAATGTATTGTTCTTCACACCATATTATTGTCGTGACCAGAGTGATAAATTGGTTATCTTTGAGAGCTAACTTTTGACAGATTTTCTGATGCAATTCGTCAATAGTTGAGTTGTGCTTGATTCGTGTTGGCTTTTTTCCGCGTTCAAAAACTACACAACGTCGGCCTTCCACTTTCTTACCATTATAATATAGAACAATATGAACAGAATCAGAATGTGAACTCATTCTTATATATATATATAAAAACACAAAAGAGAATATGAATAAGCAAGTGCTAATATATCTAAGAGTGAGAATTTATGATAGAGAAAAATTGCAAAAAGTGTGAAAAGGCGAGAGATTTAAATAGAGGTAATCGCATCCAATCTAGGTAGGGCACCATTTTGTGTCTATGTGAGACGTGACTTGTTGCGCCTATTAGAGAAGCGTGACTGAGTATAATAGATATATAAATTAATTTCAAACTATTATATTTTCATTATTTGTTATTAAAATAACAATTATTTAAAAATAAAAAATTGCATTGGCTTCTGACCAAGAGCACAGCAAATAGCTGAAATCTCGGCAATAACCAAACCTTATTGATGGATCCAATGAACCAATTGCCAATACTATATCTCTGATTCTAATCATTCCCAAATCTTGATTGATATCTGGATTATCTCTCACTCGTGCTCCCCTTCACCGTTTAAGAAGGTAGATGGATGAGATTTTTTGGTATTATCAGAATTTGAGAAATATTTTATTTTATATTTATTAAAAATTTGTCACGTAAAGTATAATATTAAAAATGTGACTAATGTAAATAACTATTCACAAAATTAACGTAACGCGTCTTTAATGATATAGAACAAGAAAATTTTCTTACATTAAAAAAAAAAAAAGCAAGATATTTTATTTTATTTTATTTTCAAAAGGTTCATTTGACCAAATTAACCAAACAAACAAAAACCCCATATAAAATTGATGGGCAACTTTCTCGAAGATTCAATTGTGGACACGTGGCCTTGCTGGCCTGGGCCCATGCCTCTTATTTAGTTAGTCGATACCTTGCTGTCGCCTTTGCATTTGCCGTCCCTACAACGTTCAATCTGTCCTATCCACACAAAGAGTTTGTCCCTTCACGGAGGGTAGTATGTGTCGGATCCTTCAAGTTAAAAATTAAATATAAAGTTCGAGAAATTAAAGTTAACTATATTTGACATATGTGTAAATGTGATAAAAAGGAAAATAATTTGTATAATTAGATTAAGTTTTATAAGTGAAATTTAAACCGGAATACGTGTTACAATAAAAGTGCAATAATCTGTTGTCACAACTGGTCAAATTTTGTATTTCATTCCACCCCTATTCCCCTAAGCTAGTAGGTATGTTTGATTTGCAAAGCAACAAATACAAAATACACGAACAGCTTGGTTGTGATTCATGATATCAATGCTCTCCATCAATACCGGTCTTCTACTTAATAAAAAATTAAAATGAATATTGTATCAATTACAAATCGAATAACAATGTGAAAAGTCAAATAGCAAGATGCATCCACACGTTTTGGTTAGATTGCAATTTATATATTTAATGTAATATATACAGCTATTTAGTTAATGTCATTATTTAAATCATTTAAGCTTGTTATAATCCTTATACATTCCATGTTCTTAGCGGAGTTGCTTTCATGACTTTTTCAAATATTTGCTAGTCATTTAACTTGATTTGTAACGTTTTTTTTCTTTTTGGAGAATTGATTTACAACGTTTATTCCACGAATTGCAACTTTGACGGTGAAAGACGCTTTGGCACGGTTTGACGTTTGGTACAGGAGAAATTTTTATTTGTCCGGGAATCTCGATTTTCAAAAATATGATTTTTGCATTCAGTTTACGATAATATCTGAAAATTTAAAATTTAGAAAAATTCAGTTTCCCGGGAATCTCTCAAAATCCCGCATACCAAACGCCCCATAAAAGTTTCGATATGTATTCACCCAAAAAAAAACTTTTGATATGTATAGATATGTATTTATTTATTTTGACTTAGCGATACACTACTTCAATACTAGATCTAGAACCTTGTTCAATGGTATTTCTAGATCGTTAAGGAGATTGAACAAAAAAAAAGCACTGATAGAGAGGAGATTGAACAAGAAAGAGGGAACGTAAAGAACATTAAGGAGAGAAAGGGAAGGAGAAATAGAAACGGAACCAACAGAGGACACAGCCTCAGAAAAACCATTAGGGAAGGAAATACGAGACACAGAAGGAGAAGAACACTGAAAAAAAGGAAGAGAAATACAGACGTGGTGCGTCGCACCCGTATCTAATATCCAACAGGTGGAAGGGAAGGAATTAGAGGACGTACCGCGAAGGCTAGCTACGGAAGGAGAAGACTCGACGATTGATGAAGCGGTGGAGGAAGGAGACGTGGCAGAACTCTGTTGAATGAGGGTAAGCAGAACTCTGTTGAATGAGGGTAAGCAGCTGGTTGTACTGTGTCGGTGTAAAGGCAAGTGGGGCATCAGGAACAAAGGGATGGGGATTAGGGAGATAGTGGTGGGGACGGTAATGAGGGGAAGTAGGTGGAACCCCAAGGATGGAGTGGGCTTGGGGATGGGCCTGGGAAAACTGAGGGTTAGAATAATTGGACCGTGGCATTTTGGGCTTATAGCCAGGTGGGTACCCGTGAAGTTTAAAACATTTGTCACAGGTATGCCCAGAAAGGTTACAATAGGTGCAAAGGGGCTTCGAACGACGTAGGGCTGTGGCAGCAATAGTCGGTGAAGAGGAAGGGGTGGCGGTGACTGAGTTTAACAGGGGAGAATCAGGGATGGCAGGGGCAGGTGAGGAAACTGATATCTGTCGTTGTTGCTCCTCCTGAAGGATCAATGAAAACACCTTAGCAAGAGGTGGCAATGGATCAAGCAGCAAGATCTGAGCTCGCGAAGATGAAAAGGAATCATTCAATCCAATAAGAAATTGGAGGACATGATCCTGGTCCTTATGTGCTGTGATCTGTCGAAGAGCACCACAGGTGCAGTGAGGAAGCGGAGCGTAGTCGTGCAACTCATCCCAGAGAGATTTCAGCTTGGTATAGTAGCTGTTCACATCAAGAGATCCTTGGCAAAGAGAGGAAATCATCTGCTTGAGCTGAAATATACGAGGACCATTAGCTTGGGAGAATCGAGTCTTCAAGTCAGACCACACATCAAAGGCATTAGTGAAATACAGGAGACTATCAGCAATTTCCTTTGAGACTGAGTTGATAATCCATGATATAACCATGGAATTACATCGATTCCAAGAAGGGAACAGCAAATCAGTGGATGAAGGGCGAGGAACAGAGCCATCAACGAAGGCCAATTTGTTCTTGGCAGTCAAAGCAAGCAGCATGCCACGATGCCAAGAGTTGAAATTGGAACCCGAAAGAAGGTGAGGGTTCAAAATCATACCAGGATGGTCGCTGTTATGAAGAAAATAGGGGCTGCTGGAATCCTCCATTAAAGATGAGGTCCCAGTAGCAGTAAGATTAGAGGAAGAAGAATCCGGTGGGCGATTGTTGTTGCCACGAGCCATGGAAGTGGCAAGGGCTACAACAACAGGGACGCTCTGATACCATATTAGATTCAGAGTACCAAAAACAAATTCTGAATATACCTCATTGCATTGCTTGCTGAGAAAGAGTACAAAAGGCAGTATATGTAGCCCCTTACAATCGTAACAGAAAAGGAGTAAGAAAAGAGTGCACATGCACACACACTAACCTCACTACTGCTAACAGAAAGCATCAACAGAAAATACCATGTGACCACATAACAAACTGTACAGCTCAGCAAAAGTAAAAATATTAATTCTATATGCTAATAGACTTAAAAGTGAAGGTTTGCAATGAACGATAGTTGCTGCAGATTTAATTTAAGGACAATCAGTTATTGAAATTCCAAAATTCAAATTTACACAGAGTCACTTAAAAGAAAGTGGGGAACGATGAGAATCACATGGAACTCTAATATCATATATAGAATCAATTTATCTAAAAACTTAAGCTGTTAGATGAGATTACCATTAAAAGTATTAAGTTATCTAGTTGGCTCAATCAGAAATTAGTCTCGTTTGCATATAAACAGTATTAAACATTATAACATTCAATTTAAGGACAAGTTATAATTACTATATTTTTTTCTTACTACTTGTTACTACTAAACCATACAATTTCTTTTGAAACCAAACCATAATGAAAAAACAAAAATAAAAAACTTTGGCCATCAAGTTAAATTTGTTTCCTCACTAAACTACTCAATACCTCTATGGAGAGATCTACGGTTTTTCACCTCTTGAAGCGTGAAATTGCTTTAGTTAGCATTACAACCAAATGAAAGAAACACTAATTAAATGTCGTCACTCGTTTGGAAACTACATATCAATCATCAACAACACCACCACGAAACCACGAGATGTAAATTCAAAAAGTGAGACTCAAATATTGTTAATTTCCAATTTGCATGACGAACCCCACAAGCACCTTATAATTAATTAATTAATTAATAAAATTCCCCTTCTATTAATCTCATTCCCCACTGTGAAAATCGTCGTCAACATTAACATCAGCACAAACACAACTTGTTTGGTTCTCTTCCTCGTCTTCGCAGTTCGCAACCATGACCACCTACGGAACAATCCCAACCTCGTCTTCACCGTCCACGAACCTCGAGTTCATCTCACGCGCCAAACAAAGGATCAAAACCGGGTTGGGCACTCGCCGGCCATGGAAGATCATGTTCAATCTCCGATCGTTCGGTCTTCCCGGCGGCGTCTCCGACGCAATCTCGCGAATTCGGGTGAACATCGGGTACTTCCAGATGAACTACGCTATAATCATGCTTCTGGTGCTGTTCCTGAGCCTCCTATGGCACCCAATATCGCTCATCGTGTTCATTGTCCTCATGGGCGCGTGGCTCTTCCTCTATTTCCTCCGCGACGAGCCGCTCGTCGTCGCCGGCCGCCTCATCAGCGATCGCGTCGTGCTGATCGTGATGGCGTTGCTCACCGTCGTGCTGCTGCTGTTAACCGGCGCCACGCTCAACATCCTGGTGGCGATCCTCATCGGAGCGGTGTTGGTGGTGGCGCACGCCGCCGTGAGGAAGACGGATGATTTGTTCTTGGACGAAGAAGAAGCTGCTGGGTTGACTCCTGCAGGTGTTGCTGCATCTTGATTCTAATCTTCTTCCTCTTCCTCTTCTTGATTATCTTGTTGATGTTCTTTTATTTTACTGTGTTTTTAGTAAATAATTTTAGGTTTGGTTGGTTTTCTTTTAGTTTATGATTTTGCCTTTTTGTGAAGGAAGTTGTTACGATTCTTCGTATTGGGTGTCGGTGATTTTTTTTGGTGTTGTTGGTTACATCATTTTTTTTTTCTTTTATATAACACTTTGATTCCCACTTTGAACCAATTTTTCTGTGGTTTTGGTTTGGAAAGGAAAGTTTGAAAAATAACAAATTGACAAAGGGGTAGCAATACAAATTACAGCATGGTTTAATAACCTGCTACCTAATAGAGTGTTTAGAATGGTAAAAGATAATAGGTATTTTTTGTTTTTTCAATTTTAAATTTATTTTAAGGGAATAACATCTATCCTTTTAAAGGATATAAATTTATAACTTTTAGATCTTAACCGTTGATCTCCGTCCATCAACGGTTATAATTTATTGAGTTAAAATTATTAATTAATTAATAATAAATTTGGCCTATTAAGTTTTGCCCAATAAATTATAACCGTTCATAGACGAAAATCAACGGTTAGTATCTAAAAAAATATAAATTTATATCCTTTAAAAGGATAGATGTTTTTCTCTTATTTTAATGCACAATTTTATTAATTATTTAGATGAAATAATGACGGATAACATGATTTATTATGTTATAAAACTGATCGTTTGATTGGATGCACGATGAGCTGAATTATACATAATGGTAAATTAAATAAGGAAAAAAGTTTTTGTCCTTTATAACTTTCTGTCTTTTTAAATGGAATATAGTATTTTATTATAATGTTTAGTAAATTAGAAAAAAAATAAAAAAAAATAATAATTAATTAAATATTATTGTAAAATACTTTATTTAAAAGGAACACAAAATCATATCCCTGCATGAATTTTTTTCCATTAAATAAGATCTAGTGTAATTTCAATGTTTTCGTAAATATTAATCTATTAAGGATAGGATATTTAATGTCATTTTTTCTTATTAATTCTTATCTCCAACTCTGTTATTGTTGTATAAAAATTAAATCAACGGTTACAAAATAACATTAAGTAAGAGTTATTAATTTAATTTTGATCTAATAATAACAAATTGATAATAAAAAGTGATAAAAAAATATAGTAAATATAACATTTAAGGGGTTTGATTTTTTAATATTGCATAGGAATTGAATTCTCATATTGTGACTCAATTAGTGATGCGTCTCACATTTATTAAAAAGAGAAAATGAAAAAAAAAGCTTTGCAAGCAAATCGAAGGGTCACAACATGAGAATTCAAATGTTTTCTCAACATTTAATTATACAAAACAACAAAACGCACTAAGTACAATGAAATATGAGATAGGTTATTCTGTATACTCCTATTTTGCCTACCTTTGGCTATCCTTTTCATTACCGTTAGATTACAATCTCATCCAATGATAGAGATTTACGGTATAAAATTAACCCTTTTATCCCTTCCTCTCTCCCACTAATCCTCATCATTTCTCTCTCCTCCCATTTCTCTCTTCCTCTCCACCATACCAGAGTTGATTTTAGATTTTATAAAGAAATGGGAGGAGAGAGAAAGGATGAGGATTAGTGGGAGAGAGGAAGGGATAAAAAGGTTGATTTTATACCGTAAGTCTCTATCATTGGATGAGATTGTAATCTAACGATAACGAAAGAGGTAGGCAAAATAGAAGTAGGCAAAATAACTTATCTCATAAAATATATTATATTTTACAAGTTAGCGTATGTGTTCCATGTGATGAACGCGTAAAATATCTTTAATTTTTTGGTATAATGAACGCGTAAAATATTGAACCAATACTATTTCGACTTACTCCCGTCATAATTTTAACAGAAATTATGCAAAAACACCTATACTAAATAGTTATAGTTATTGTACTAAAAAAAAAATAGTTATAGTTACTATTAGACAACCTCTCTTATTTTATTTCTAATCAAAATTTAAATATAACTAATCTTTGGTCAAACATACAACTATTGTTAGAATAACATTATTCTTTTATATAACCTCTCATCACTAGTGACACTTTAAACAGCCATTAGATCTACGAGTTGCTTCGTTGAAACTCGATCAAGAACAAGCCGTGTATCTCCATTTATGCGTTTTTAAGGATTTATCAATGATGCAGATGAGTCTCTAAATAAGGACAGCTGGTTTGAACAAAGCTCTGTAGATATCCACAAAAGCTCCATCATTAAGCACCTGTCTTTATTCAGTCTCATCAATACAATATTCACATGTCACATTATTTATATGCTCAAAAAGGATCATTACAATTACAAAACAATTTCCCCCATGGAAAGATATATACAGAAAGAAACATTGGAAAACAATTTCCCATACACATCTAGCTTCTGAAGAAACAGAAGAACTCGTTTAAAATCAAAGACACAAATCCTTTCTATAATATTATCTGATTTAACTTAAAATATTACTTGAAAAACACTAGAGCGTTCCATAATAAAAGAAATAACTGCGTGTCAATGGAAAGGTGAATGGAGAAAACCCTCTCTAGGAAGTATTGAAAAAACTGGCACTTATATTCTTATAATACTTAGCGAGATAGAGAACAAAGACTCCTTTCTTATCAGCCCAATTTGTTATATGACCCATCATAAACAACACAGAAAAGGCTCAATCAAAGAAATTCATGAACATAGCTAATAAGTAATAACCATAAAACAAAATTTTGATGATGGGAATAGTCAACAAAAAAATCTAAGTCAAACAAGTCTAATTTTAATATATGTTCTATTATTCATAAGTTTTATTAAAATTATATTATAGATTATATAAGTTAGTCCATCCAGAATTAAATTCTAACAATATACACTATGACATGATGTTATGGACAAATGCGGTGATCAAATAATTCAGGCTGCCGATCTTGGCCTCAAATCCAAACACCAACACTTATAGTCTGATCTTGACATGGCATAGAGTTCATCTGGTGTGAGGTTGTCAACTTGCTTGGATCTCCAACAATCAGAAATGCCAACGATTTTGTTACGTGGACTCAACGTTCCATAGCCTTCCTCCTTATGATTTTGACCTTGTATTCTCTTATACAGTCTCATGACAGAAATACAATCTTCATATGGGTCGTGAGTGCCGGATTGGATATCATAACTGTAAAGCCAAAGCATAAATATATTGGAGACAGGTAAAAACATTATAGGATCTTCAATTACTACAGTCGCTAATGGTTATACTATGTGAACTGTAACATTGCCAACAGAAAATGATTAAAGCAGCCTCTGTGTATAAACCTTTTGCTGCTTTCGCCAACAAATTGATGTTTTTCAATAGATGTGGAAAACTGCAAGAGTTTAAAAAAAATAAAGCAAAGTTCTTTGTACTGCACTAACACTCCTAAGCATCCAGAGAACCGTCCCAATTTATAAAACACATCCACATATGCAATAACTTCAAAATTAGTTTATTCATATCCAAAATTAGAAAGTGTTGTTTACCCAAACAATAAAAAAGAAAGAAAGAAAAAGAAAAGAAAAGAAATTTCAAAGAATCTATCATGAACTTGGGCCAATTGAATTGAAGGTCAATGTACACACTAGTGGAAAAGATAGATCGTGTCAATTTGATTTTATAAACAAAAAGTAAAACTCAAATTAGAAGAAGCAATTTAAGAATGAAAGAAGCTTGAGGAAAAAATTAACTTACCCTAGATATGTTTGGGTAAGATACTTGAGCGAATGGCTGACCAAGTTTGTTTTCATCAATGGACGGTACTTTGCAGTGTCCCTGCAGCACAAAATATAAGCATAGGCAATAAGTGAGTTCTAATAAATACAAAAGTCTGCTCTCAAATTAGAAACTGTTCATTCCAACTGAAAATCTAATCAACCTAGCATAATTAAAATATTAAATATAAGAAAAATCCAAGCAACGGAATAGGATGGATCACCATATCTGGAAACTTATTTATGTTAACAAAAAACTGATCACTATAGCAACTATATAGTTCAAAAAGTGAATTCTACCATACACCTCATAACCTTGGAACTTGGAAGTAACAAAAACAAGGGGCAGGGGGCGACAGAAGGAATTCATGGATTTCCAACAATTGTTTTTTTATTCATTAGAGGACAACTCCTTATAAGGCTGAAAAAGAAAATGAGTGAAAGACGTGGTTGTTAAGAATGATTTAGTATAACTAAGTTTCTCAAGAAACATCTACCTGAGCATGTGATCGGGATAATTCAATTTCAAGCAATCTAAATCATGTGCCAAGTCATGCCCCACAAGAAGCCTGGCCTTTCCACCATCCAATCTAACTTTGCCAATGGATTCTCCATTGTATAGAATTTGCAATACCTTTTCTTGAACTTCCTTAAGCGGAATGGCATCTCTAAGATACTCTTCTGTCAACCCAGTTATATCATATCTGAATATGTCAAGCAAAGTCAACCCCAACACTCTTTTTTCCTTATCCACCTTTCTCTTTAACAGTAAAGGAAAACAATTATACAAGTCTGAAATACCTATAATTAGTGACAGGGATTTGAGGCTGTACATAGGCATGAAATATTAAGTTCTCATCTTCATCAACCAAGCATACTCGAGCACAGAGTTCCAGAGATCCATCACTTCCCCCACCAACCATTTCACAGTCCAATGCAATTGCTAAAGGGCGCCTGCCAGCATGGTTTTCATCAGAAGGACCTCGACAATCAATTTGGGAGCCTATATAGGGCAATGCGATTGTTCCCTGCAACAGTTCCATTCACAACATAAACCTCCTCAAGAACATAGAACAGAAGACAATAAAAACTGATCGTGTTGGTCAAGGTGAATAGTAAACATAAGACATTTATAAACACTTTAGGTTGTCAATAATCAACTACTTACTAGAGGAGCAGGGGCAGATAGGCGACATGTTTCTCTATGCTCAATGAGAGAGCTGGGGCTATCAAATAGTGTCAAGCAAAGTTGACAACCCTGTTGAGAGAAAATCTTTGAACAAATTCCCTTTGGCAAAGGACCTAAAACATAGAGGAAAGCAAGGAGCACATAAAAAGACAAATAATGAGTTAAAAAATGCTGAGTGCTGACATCAGATTCAATGTGCAATTATAACTAACCGATAAGATGTTCCCTTAAAGACTCAAAAGATTTGCAGTGCTTTTGACAGACCCCACATCTTGGCTGATGGACAGAGTGGTATGAAATTTTCATATGCTCGATGAGATGCTCTCTCTTCTTATATTGCCTATAGCATGCCGAGCATTTGTGTCTGCATGAAGGAATCAACTACTCTTTAAACAAGCCATGCAAAGAAACAATTATAAACAAGGGGTAAAAAAAAAAAAAAACAAAGACTAAGATAAGAGAATCCATTTCAATATATATTTAATTCTACTCGGAAGCATGGAAGATTCCATCATTTATTCTTCTTATTCTTTTTTTTTAATGAAATTTACAACATGCTGGGAAAGAACAAACACAAAAGCAAATTTTGGCAGTTATAATATAGAAAAGATACTCATTAGCCCACACAAACTGATTGAAAAATAACGAATATTCTTACAAGAAGCAATACTGTACAGTCCCAATTATATGGTTAGGCAGGCTTTCAATTGAACACTCACAAAGCAGACACGGGGTTCATCATGGAAAAAGAAAAAAAACAATAAAAAAAGTAAAAACAAACACGCAATTAAGGAGTAGAAATTTGACCTTTTAGATGGGTTTTGAGGAGTGTCAGCTTTAGCATCCATTTAGAACAAACAGTGAAGCAATAACATGCGAACGAAGGAACAGAATGTAGTGCCGTATTGCAAGGACACGATCAATAGCTTTCTATTTTGCTCTATGACAAAAGGAATCAATGGAGGAACCGCACCGTTTTAACGTGTCGTGGAATATACACTGAATAATAGGTTGAAAAAATGAAGCTAAACTGCAACTCTGAAAACCCTAATACTCCACTGATGAAGAAGCATATCCTCCTTTTTAAGTCCCTATCCAACACAATCAGCAACCCAATGAAAGGTGCGCCTCTATTTTATTAAACGATTAGTGATTAATAACTTAATTATTAATTATTGATTTTAAGAAAGCATCCCCGGATGCGGATAGTCTCGTTCTCGTCTCTATAGACTATAGCTGATGTGTTATTTAATCATAGTTATTCATTGATGATAAAATTGCACAGAAAAAATATATAATTTTAAAAATAACATAACAATTTCTTAATACGAGAGGATCCAAATTCGTATTTTTTACATCACACATTCATAAGAATTTGAGCCTTTATTTTCTTTTTTTTTCTTTTTTAAGTGTGGAACACGTTCAGATTGTGTCTAAATAGGAGATTATTATCTCCTAATGCATAAAGAGTCCATTATCCTTCTGAGTAATCAGTGAATAGTAATTTATGAATACTAATTCAATTAATAATTCCTTTATAATTAGTAATTAATATAATTATTAATGAGTTGTAATTTAATTAGTAATAATTAAATTTAATATATAGTGATTATTAATTAATTATTAAGTCAGAACTCAATGTTGCACACTATAATTTTTATTTTTTGTTGTTATATTTTTTTTAAAGAGAGAGTAAAAATACACAATACATGCAAGAAGATATTGGTAGAGATCTTTACTTCGATTAGGTCCTCCTTTTCTTGCAGTCTTCTTTTCTTTCTCTTGATTTCACATTTATTCTCTTAATCTCTTCCTATAAGAATAACAAAAAATAGTATATATTGATAAAAAAAAATTCATTTCTTGTTCTTTATGCTAAGTCAGAGTCCAATGGAAAACAATCCCAAGCGACGCCGAGGAGCTCCCAAAGACGAGCCGGTGGCGCCCAAAAATGAGCCACCAGCTCCAACGTCCCGTCCGAAATTAAAGAGACCTTATCCTTGCAGAAGTGCACAAGAAGCAGAAAATAAAAAACAAACACCTCCAAACCAAAATCTGCCCCAGAAAAAGAAGCAGCCACCTCCAAACCAGAATCTGCTTCCATCCTTAAGCTTGCATTTTGAATCTTTATTGTATAAACTTTTCATCCGTTATGTTACTCAAATTACTCTTAACATAATGATAATAAATTTTATTTATGTTTATTATATGTCTTTATCCTGTAGTTTAAAATAATAGGAGAAAATTAAATAAAAAAAGGTACAGTGTTCGTAAATATATAGTGAATGAGTGATTTCCTTGCCATTAGCAAGACAAACTACAAGAAAAGACTATGCAGGCATTCACTAACGGAGTCAGGATTTAATTTTAGCCGGAGCCAAAAAAATTGGTATATCAAATTATCAAAAAATTTCATAACTACACAAATCTATTAGGAAAAAAATTTACTTAAAATTTTCAAAGTAATAGGATCGATGTTATTTTAACAAATAATAGTTATTTATTTAAAATTTAGAATATAATATAAAAAAATAGTAAAGAAAGTGCAAAATATATAAACATATATGAATTTTAATGTGATTTTTATGCACATTTTCATGTGATCTTTGGTAACATTATTCCATGTGATGTTAATGAAAGCTTATTTCATGTGATGTTAATGAAAATTGATTCAATGTGGTCTTTGTGAATAAATTTTTTTATTTTTTATATTTTAATTTGATCTGAGCCTACAAACTTTAGTTTGCAACTTGGTAGGCCTTACAAGTCGTATTCGATTTTTTTAGCTTTTTATAATATGGCAGACCATAAATCAAGTATTTAATAGCCTAATAGATCAGTATAAGTTCCAAATATTTTACACAGGCTTAGGCTATCAAAGCCAAAGTTTGGCTTAACTTGGCTCATTTATACCCCTAGTCGTGACCAGTAAAGAACATTAACATAGAGGGACAACAAACTTCATAATTAAAAAGAAACATGGAATAATTAGCAACAAATGTCTAAAACCATTTAAATGACATTGGATCCACATAAATCATTTAATTAGTGTTTAGATATTTTAAAAATTTTAAAAATACAAAAAAAAATTGTTAATGGATATTTATAAGAAATTTTCATACTCCATATATATCCATATATCTTCATTGATTTTTCTCTTTAACGGCTTCCACTAATTAATGACCAAAATTCACATTCTTTTTGTGAAATAAAATACAAATAACACCAATAAACAATTCAATTCCATTACCAATAGCAACTGTAGCTCTACATTAAAATAATTTTTTTAAAAAAAGGTAAATGTAAAACAACACTCCATTTTTTCAAAAGAAATAAAATCAATAACTACAACCACAAAAAAAAAGTTGTTAATAAAATAAAGGGGCGTGAATTTCACTCATGTTAGAAACACCCAATAAACAATTATGGTCAGCAAAGACAAAGAATTTCACTTTTATAAGGTTCAAAAATATAAATCAATTTTTTTCGCCAACGGACAATATAATTATCAATACATATTCCAAGAACATGTATCCGTAAAATCTTGAAGAAAGGAACGAAACATCGTGTCTTGTCGCATAATGGCTGGGTTCCGAGTGGTGAGTGCGAATAAGAAAAAAAAGGTTAGAAGAAAAACCTCAATTGGAAAAAGATGAAAGAAGAAGAAGAAATTAAGAAGAAAGAAATATGTTATCTAGTCATACACGAAAAGCAGCTCTATATCTTCATATGTTACCACTGTTACAATTGTTACAATTTTAGCTAGGGTCAACTTACAATTTTAGCTAAGGCCTAATTATAATTACTTATATAATTATATACACGAAGGAAGTTCTCACATTTGGGAATTAGGTTTTTGACTATTCTTTGTGTGCAATAACCCAAAACACAATAGTTCAATGGGCCTTCATATTCTATAATTATAGTCCTGTCATTCATTTGGTTTTATGATTGTTACTTTCAAGGGTTAAGTGTTTGTTCTTTTAAAGGACATAAATTGTGTCCTTTTAGTTTTTAACCCTATGTCTTACCGGTAAGACATAGTTATAACATGAAAAATAGTTTTTTTTCTCTCTCCACGTTAGCTGATGTGACTGAGAAAATAGAAAAAAAAAATTAATTTTTCATATTATAACTATGTTTTACAGATAAGATATAGTGTCAAAAACTAAAAGGATACAGCCTTGTGTCTTTTAAAAGGACAAAACCTTTTTTTCTACTTTTAAATGTGTTTATTTGGTTTAATTGGGCCCATATTTTGAAATAGGTCAACTAATCATTTTTGTAATTAAGTTTAGAAGTCTTTCTTTTTTAAAATAATAGGAGTAAGAATAAATAACATAACTGATTAGAATAAAGCAGAAAAAAAAAAATATACAGGATAAAAAATAAAAAAAAGGTAAAACACAAAAATAACCATACTATACATGTTCCTTATTATTTGTTTGCATTTAGATGATTTGTTGTTACTTTGTATTGAGTATTTGATTTTCTATTTAGGTGGTGCCAAATTATAAATTTTACCTTAGTTAATTATAATTAATTATATAATAAGTAAAAAAAATAAGCAGGTGCCAAGGCATCTGCTGGCTTGGATGTGGCTACGCCACTGCAGGCATTATCAATAATTAAAGTTGGAACAAAGTATAAATACCAATGGAGCCACTCTCTGTATGTTGGTTCACTAGGACTTGGAGCATCAGGATCCACCATTACTTAACAAACATATACACGAAAAATTTCTATTAATTTTCATTTAAAGACAGTCTATTATACATAACCTCATATTGTTTTCTTTTTTTTTTTACGTGATGTGATTTGACAATTGACAAAAAATTTAGTGAATGTGTAATAGACAACATAAATATAATGGCATACATATACACCGAGAATTCGAACATAGGGTCTTGTTGGGTCCTTACCAATTAAAAGGCCAAATGTCCAACCCAATAAGGAATGCACACCTAGGTTCCTTTGTGTAGTATGCTCAGCTGCCATTTGAGTATGTGAGGAGAGCATTTCTGAAGAGAAGAAAGAAGGGAGAGACCAGCCACCAAAACCAAAAAATTCGCAGGTGAAGAGTGGGAGGAGCAGGGTCTGAAGATTCTGTTATATCTCATTCGTTTGTGGTCCGATTGAGCTGAAATTTTTTCAGCACCTTCCCAACTCATGCCTCTTCATTTCTACCTGTCAGAATCTTGATCGGAGGTCTGCATCAGCAGCAGAAAATTGCAAACCGAAGTGGTCTGTGTGTAGAGTTTTGCAGAAGGCAGCAAGGTTACGAGATTCATCTCTAAAATGAACCGTTGATCTAAGCTGAAATTTTGGTACAAGGTTTATAACATACTGTACTAGAGTTTGACCGTTCAGTTTTGCGATTGGAGTTGTCAAGAGGGAATTATTCAGCTCCAAATAGTGAAGTTCAAAGAGAGGTTTCTCTTTGGTCAACCGTGTGATTGTCCTCAAAATTGGTCAGTGTGTTCCTCTCTTGTTGTTCTTTAATCTGACCGTTGCGATTTGGGAGTAGACGCTTCTGTTATTTTAGATTAATTTCGGATAGAAGCTTGGTCATATATGTGTGTCTCTTGCATTTTTGGTACAACTAGTTGTGAAGTTGTTTTGATGGTGCTATAGCTGATTGTAATTGCTTTGGAAACTTTTGTAATCTCACTTTGTTGATAGTGGAGAATTTGGGTGGACTCCGAAATCGATCCCATGGTTTTTACTCCTCACATTGAGGAGGTTTTCCACGTGAAAATTGACTTGTGTTACGTTGTGTTTTTGGTTCATGCATAGTTGTTGTCATTAGAACATATATTTTGCTTGTTGGAAACCATTCTAAACAGGTCCTGGAAGGAGAAATTGGTGTTTATTTCCCAACAACTGGTATCAAGAGCTTATGTTATTTTGCCTGTTGACTTGTGATTAAATATGGAAGTTAATACAAGTAGAATGGTTACACTGAATGGTTCAAATTATCATGTATGGAAAGGAAAGATGGAAGATCTTCTTTATGTGAAGGAGTATCACTTGGCTGTCTTTGGTACTGAGAAATCACAAAATAAAAACCGAAGAAGAATGGAAGTTG